TTTCCCTCGCTGTTGCCTTTTTCTGTCATTCGTGCCTCCCACGGTTTGCTTTGTTCACGTGCATTTTCCCTCTGGGGCGGGGGCGGGATGCGCCTCGGGGAGGGAATTGGTTCCTCGCCTGGAGGGAATGGGGACGGGTCGGCTCTTGAAGGTTGAGGTGTTAGAGCCGGTGGAGGCGGGGAGGAGGTGGAGGTCTAAAGGGATCGCGAGGGGTCAGGAGCCAGCTCCCAGCTGGGTGGGGCCGGCCCTGGGAGGATCCCCGGGACTGGACAGCACCTGTCAGCTGGGGGTGGGTGGGGGGCGGGGCCGGCGCTTTATTTACCTTTGACCGGGGGAGGCGCCTCCTAATTTGTTTACCCCCGTCAACCTTTGCCTTGCTACCACCCCCTGTTCCCCACCCCCTGCACACTCCACTTACCTCTCCCTAACCCTTCAATTTTTCACATTTCAACTCCCTATTTCTCCCGCCTACACGCCCCAGTGACCTCAGGCTGAGAGAATAATTTGTATTATTATTACAAACAAACTCACCCTCCAAAAGCCTGATTTCTCTGAGACCTGGTTTATTTCCATGGATACCCTCCTCCTCCTCTGCCTTCACCTCTTCTCTGGGTTCTCTCCCTCCCCCTCCCTGCCCCCCACGCTCTGACTCAGCTCTCCCTCTTTTACAAAGGCCACCTCTCCCCTCCCCTCTCTCCCACTTTTCCTGCTCTCTCTCCCTCCTCGGAGATTGTTTTCTGTCTGCCCCATTCCAGCTCTCTCCAATCAGAAGTCCATCTTTCCTCTCCCCCGCAAGCCACAGCCTCTGGTCTGACCCATCTCCCCACTCCCCTGCAGCCCCAAGGAACAGCCGCACACTTTGGAGGGGTCCTACCTCCCTTGGAACCCTTAACCAGGAGCCTTGCCTTTTGTGTCGGCTATGTTGTTGAATGCTGAATGCCTCCTCAGCCCCAAGACCCTATACAATTTACCCCTTCTCAAGAGTGGACCCCTAACCTGAAATTCAGAATTACAAAACTTCATGTATAGCAAGGATCCTATAAGGTCAGATGGTTTACAGCCATCCGACTTTAGTCTACAACTATCCAAGTAGTTCTTCCCCAAGCCTTCCAGGAGGCACCACCCTGCCCTCAATCTCAATCTCCCTTCACTACGAGCTCTGGCCTCATTTTAGCAATTACCATTCTTCTCCCCCCCAAAGCCTCAAACCCTTCCCAGCATCTTCTGTCTTCTCTTTGACTTGAATTCGTGTTCTTTTAGTTCCTATTTTTAAAAGTCCCCTTCGCTCCTCTGGTGGTCCCTTCCACTCCTCTTTAATCCATCACTTATCTCCCAACAGTCAGGTAACGTTATTCCATCCCAGGCTTTGCTTTCCTTGCTCTCCCTGTTTCTGGGTGAACACACCCAACTCCCTCCTTTCCCTCTCCAAATCCTTCCTGTGGGACAAGTTCAGAGGGTCCCTTACATTCCTAACACCTCCCAAATAATAAAGCCCGCACATAGAGACGCTAACCCCCTAGAAAAGCCCCACCCTTATTTGTAGAAGCATAATAGGTGAAAAGCGCAGCTCCCAGTGTACTCCTGCATAGAAACCCTCAACGATCCCTCAGGACAGGATGGATGCCAGTTTTCCTGCTAAAACCCAACCACTGACCCTTCCATTTAAACAACAACAATAAGTGAGGCATACATCAGTTTTTCTGAGTTTGCTATTCTTCATTGAGGTTAAACTGAATATTTTGGCTCAGTATTATGATTTCTTCTACCAAAAATGTGGGCAGCCTAGGGATTTAAAAGGGATGAGCAATGGAAAGGAGTGGTAGCTAAGGGTCTGGATGGGTCTGGAGAGGCAGCCTCAATGTGTGGCTTCGGCATTCTCATTCTGAGACCAGGAGGGGCTTTTGGGTTGGGCGCAGGGGAGTGAGGTGGAGCAACTAACCCTCTGGCCACTTCAGGGAATGAGGTGATTGCAGTGGATTGGAAGGGACTGAAGGATGTGGACCAAATCAACATGGACAGCACCAGCTCACTGCACGGAAGCAGCCTCCACCGGCCATCCACAGAGGTGAGGCCCGTGCCCAGCTGCCCCTCACCAAAGCACCTCTAAAAGACCCCGGTACCATCCCTAACAAAGCCTCCCAGTTGCCTGACCTCTGAAATCCACTCCTAAAGTCCAAGTGAACATCCCAAACACTCCTTCAAACTGACACTTGGGAAGAACATTTCTGTAAAGTCCTCAAAATACAAGCCAAATGTTCCACACCAACACCCTAATTTCCTATGCTAATCTCAGGAAAGCCCTCCCTTCTTCACACACTTCTGGAAGTCCCTCGGAGGAAAGGGGTGGGGTTCCTTGCATTCATGGAAGTGCTTGGGATACCCACTCCCTTTTCTCTCTCCTCACAGCAAACCCGAACTGATTTCTCCTGGGATGGCATCAATGTGAGTGCAGCTTCCCCCAGCCTCCCCCAGCCCCACCTAGCTGGTCTTCCTTCTATTCTCCTATAACACAGTGCTCCCTCACTCCAGCAAGCCCTCCCATGCTCTGCCTGCACCGCAACTTTTCAAGGGTGGTTGAAAGATATGCCTCCTTGGGACTCCTGGGTCTCATGGTTTTCCCAATCATCTGCCCTAGCTCAAATCCTTCATCCAGGAACTTTTCCCTGCATATAGAAGCACCCCCAGGCCCTCTCATTCCTCCTCCCCTCCTCCCACATTCCCCATTCCAGCTCTCCATGGAGGACACCACTTCCATTCTTCCGAAGCTTAAGCGAAACTCTAACGCCTATGGCATTGGGGCCCTGGCCAAGTCATCATTCTCAGGTGAGATTCCCTACCTAGGGATGCATTCAGACAGGAGATACTCACAGGCTCCTGGTGTCAGTCTCCCTGCTCCTTCTGGCCTGACCGGCACCCTCATCTTCCTATCTCTGACCTATTTGTCCTTTCTTTCAAACCTCTCCTATCCTCTAGGCTGCCCTCATATATGGGGATCTAGGGGAGCTTGTCCCCCATGGGATGGAGACCCCTGAGACTGGGGTGAGGATAATGGGGAGGGCCTGTTATGGGTATTATGTGATATTCTGGAGGATGGGGGGAATGTCTGGCCCTTTAGGGATTTCAAGAAGCATGAAGGACCATGTGACGAAGCCCACAGCCATGGGGCAAGGCCGGGTGGCCCACATGATTGAGTGGCAGGGCTGGGGGAAGGCACCAGTCATTCAGCCACAACACAGCCACGAGGCGGTGCGCAGGGATGCCGATGCCTACTCCGACCTCAGCGATGGCGAGAAGGAGGCACGTTTCCTTGCAGGTACTTGTTCCCCCAAACCCTCAAGAGGCACATCTTGTGATGGCCAGAGACTGACCCTTCAACCCCACCCCTGTGACAAGATTGATTCTAGCCATGGGATGACCATCAGACTTAATTTCAAGTACTTTGAGTTGTTAACTCTGATAAGTGCCCTCAAACTTATTTTTATTATCATCTCAGAAGTTGAGGAGAATTAACGTGGGACTGTGGGTTCTGATGCCTTCTCTCCTTCATGGTGGGACTCCAACCCCTGGACTTCCTCAATACAGGGCGGGAAAGGCAGGGGCTGTTGGCTTCAAAAAACTTGGTTCTCCTGTTTCTTGAAAAAGAAAGGAAAGTGTTGGAGATCTTTACGAGCCTTAGCCCATCAGCACATTGTAGTCATGGAGTCACATATGTGGCTCATTACTTGTGACAACCACTAGAAGGTCAAGGGACCTGGGTGAGGAGAGAGTGGTTTATAGAAGAAGTTTTCTTCCAGGAAAGTAGTGTAGGTATGAGACAAGCCTGTAGTGCATCTACAATGGTGGCCGAGCCCTAGTGGCAGGTCTCAGTAAGATCCCTAGGGAGAATGGAAGAGAAGGGGGGTATCTTTGTATTGGTGTGGGTGTGGTGGAAGAAATATCAGTGAGGGAAGAGGCAAACGTGTATGGGACAGGGCATGGTGTAGAGTAGCTAGCAATGTAGGCTTCAACTTACTCATGGCTTTGACTAGAATAGGGACCCCCCCAAGTCTATCCATCTTCACTATTCTATCCTCCCTCCCTTCTCCTTCCAGTTCCTTGAACTATCAACTTGGTGGCCCTATAATCCCATGGTGCTCCCTTGGGGATTCTCTGTTAACCTTGAGGCACCACCCCACCCCTCCCCCAACCTGGATATCTAGATTCCTCTGTCCTTGACTGCCTAATACCAACTACCACTCCTAAAAACGTCCAAAAGATAAACTTCTGGAAATCCCAAATTTCAATCCCTTAGGATATCTCACCAGAAGACCATTTGGGAAGTCCCCCATGATTTTGCTTTGTTTCAGGGCATGTACAAAGGCTGTGCTGTCCAATATAGTAGCCACTGGCCACATGTGGCTATTGAGAACTTGAAATGTGGCTAGTCCAAGTGGAGAATGCTGAAAGTGTAAAATATCAACTGGATTTCAAAGACTTTTTATGAATAAAAGAATGCAAAATATCTCACTAATTTTTATATAGATTAGATGTTGACATGATCATCTTTCATACATATTAGGTTACCTAACATATAGTAGTGCAATTAATTTCACCTGTTTCTTTTACTTTAATAGGGCTACTAGAAAATTTCAAATCATGCAAATGGCTTGCATTGTATTTCTATTGAACAGTGCTGCTCTAATGTCCCCTTCCCCATGCATGTGTCTAAGGATTTTCAGAAATATCTTGTGCTAACCACATTTCTTCTCCCAGGCGTCATGGAACAGTTTGCCATTTCTGAGGCCACACTCATGGCCTGGTCTTCCATGGATGGTGAGGACATGAGTGTCAACTCTGCCCAGGAGCCATTGGGCTGCAACTACAGTGACAACTACCAGGAGCTGATGGAGAGTCAAGGTGAGGGATGGTTTCAGAATCTAACCTCTGAGGCTTAAGGGACCTCCCCAACTATCTATGCTACTTCTGTACATCTCTGTGCTTCTAAGACTCTCTGTTCATCCTAGCTTTCTTTTCCCCTCCTTCACCAATGTCTCACCCTCAATTGTCTGTGCTGTTGTTACTGCCTTTGATAGTCTATGCCCCCACCGACCTCCATGATTCTCTCTACAGATGCCCTCACTCAAGCCCCCATGGATGGATGGCCTCACTCCTATGTGTCCCAGGGCATGTACTGTCTGGGATCATCGGATGCCTGGGAAGCAAGCGACCAGTCCCTCATTGCCTCTCCAGCCACAGGATCTTATCTTGGCCCTGCATTTGATGACTCACAGCCAAGCTTACATGAAATGGGGCCTTCCCAACCTGCTTCCGGATACTCTGCTCAGGAGCCTCCACCTTTGCTGGGGGGAGAAACTGACTGGGCTCCAGGAATGGGTGGGGTGGACCTGGCAAGGGGCCCTGCAGAGGAGGAGAAGAGGCCCTTGGCCCCCGAGGAGGAAGAAGATGCGGGATGTAGGGACCTGGAATCACTTTCCCCACGAGAAGACCCCGAGATGGCCACTGCTCTCAGCCGAAAGGTATCTGACGTCACATCCTCAGGTGTGCAGTCCTTTGATGAGGAGGAAGGTGAGGCCAACAACTAGCTTCTTCCCACTCTACACACTATCTTCCACTCCCACCCGAGGGGCCTGGCTGCAACAACACCCTCCCTTCCCCCAGCAGTACAGCTGAAACCCGGGCAGAAGACCAGGAGGAACCCAGGAGCTGCCAGTTCTCACTAGGAAAACGGAGGGCCAGGATGGGATTCCATCCAGGCTTGTGCTGTAGAAACCACAGGTCTGGGGACTGAGGCCCAGGCAACTAGATGGCTGTGAACTTGGTTTGGCTGCGGGCTTCTGGGTCTGTGATGATGAAGCTCCAGTTTGTATCCTGGAGACAGGAGCCATCAACTAGATCTCTGTTTTTCACTCCCTGACTTCGTCATTCAGAAGCCTTGACCGTGGCTGCCTGAATGCCTCCTTTCTCATGTCACTTTTGCTTTTTCCGACTCTGTGTTTTCTCTGGCTGTGGTCCCAGCTTGACCCTACTATGAAGAACAGACCTGCTGGACGTGACTCAATGAGTGTAGGGGAAGCCACATCTCCTTAGAGAATGGAGAAGCTGCCCTCAGTGGGTAGTTTGGCTTCTGAGACCAGGAGTCACGGGGGAAGTGGACATGGCAGCTGGGGTGCACAGGGCACAAACAGGATTCTTTATATAAGGCCCACCCAGAGACCAGAGAGTCATTGATGGGACCAACAACAAACATGGCCACCTATTCTGGGATCTTGAATATCCCGTGACTGAAAGGTGGGTTCTAAGGGTCTAGGAAAGGACCCAGTGAGCTGGCTGCTCCAGCTCTTGCTTCCTTTGTCTGCCTTCTTCCATCCCCTGCTCCAGGAGCCCTGCCCGGAGGGGGTGACAGAATGCAGGTGTCCTGCCAGGTGGGGAAGCATGAGGGCTGTGCCTCCCTCCCTCCACCCCCAAATTCTCTGGAGCTGTTTACACTTTTCTCTTTGCCTTTTCTACATTTTTATAACTTCTTGGGGACTCAGGTTGAGTGGGGTGGAGGGAGGAGTCTGGTGCTGTCAGGCCCCCGCCCAGTGTGTTGTTGGCTGAGAATCAGTGTGGGCACTCGGCTCCTTTTTTTTCCTTCTTCAGTTCCTCCCAGGCAGCCTCCCTTCCCAGGCCTCCTGCGGA